AACCACAGCATTCCTTAGCTCATCATCAGCAAATATCCAATCGATTTGCGTCAAACTTTTGGTAGTAGCACAATTGTTGATTGGACTAAGATTAAATTCATTTAAAGCTTCCTCAAGTCGATCAGTGTTTGTAGATCTGCATATATTAAAATCTCCTAAAATAACCAATTTGCTATTATTTTCCAAGCTGCGTATCCTTTCAACATCCGCCATAATTTCATTTCGAAATTGTGTTATAGGAAAAGCAGGGTTCCTATAAACAACAATAAAGGATGTATCGAGATATTTGAAGGCAATTGATTGGTATGTAGTTCTTGAGCTTAAAGACTTATTTGTCTCAAACAAGAAAACTACATTTTCGGCAATATTTTGCTTGGCATAAATTATAATTCCATTTTTGCCAATACCATTCAATCGATTGCTATCAATTCTTCTTATAATGTCAAAACCTTGTAAAGAAAAGTCTTCGCTGGGAAGAGTCCAAGTTTCAACAAAACAAAGAAAACTCGCAGAACAAATAATAGGGTCATTGAAAATATCTTCGCGATGGCTTCGAAGAGACTCAACATTATGGTAATATAGAGAGATATCTTCATTACTGTTAACCAAAATTTCATAATGCGTAGTCAAGAACTTTTCCTCTCTTAACTTTTGAATTTCGTCTTGGACATTTTGGGCTCCAAATCTTGTTGGAGGAACAAAGTCGCCTAGAAGGAAAAGTCCTGATGCGCTAGTGGCCCTGCTGCATCCAACATATAGCGAAGCTCGCTTGATGCCTCTTTTAAGATGCACGGCGACTTTGCTATATGTTGCTCCTTGGCTTTTGTGGATGGTAATAGCCTCAGCGGGAACAATTGGAAATTGTTTTCGGTCAACAGAAGCATGCTCGGATCTTCCACATTGAAAAACTCGAGAGGCTTTTACTATTGGAGTCCATTCGGGATCGGGGTTGTTTCGAACTTTTGATCTGGCGATAGCACCAACCGTGGGTTAAAAAAATTTAATCCAAAGTCGCGTTACTAAATTTGAGCCATTCACTAAGCAATGATCAATTTGCATCAGCTGACCAGTTGCTCCATTTACAAGTCCGTCACTTGTGTCTATATTGACGGTAACCATATATTTAGCAGTTGTTTTGAGATGAAGATTATATGGTAAACCCTGTGTTTCAGAGGTTTTCATATTTTGAGCATATCTTAACGTGTTTTCTCTGTTTCGTGCAGATATGTTCGCAGTTTTCACTGTATCAACAGCAGTGGAAACCAACTCTTCCATCCCAATTTGCGCTAGTTTAATGGAATTGTAATTGTTAACTTCTTCGTTTGAAGAAAATAAATGAATGGCATCATCAGGAACTTCGCTGGGTGAAACAACTCTTTGTTTTAGGAGCTCTATATCTGCAATTGTCATGCAAGCCTCAGATAAATGATTCAAGGCTTGAGCAAATGCATGATCGCCTCTTTGGCGCATTATTTCTGTGAGCTCAAAATACTTAAAGTTGCTCCATAGACTATTTCCTGCTAAAACGCTATAAGGATTAATTGTCCTCTCCGAAAATATCCAACTGTCTCCAACTGGGGAAAGCTGCTTTAGATCTCCAAAAACTATAATTGATTTTCCACCAAAACATATGTCAGGACTTCGGAAAATTTGACGAAGCCTTTGATCCAAAAATGAAAGCATTTTAGAACCAACCATTGAAATTTCATCAATTATAATTAATTGGAGATCAATCAACTTGCAATGAATTGTATTTAAACTGTCATTGCTTAAAGGTCTTAAGGGACCTGAAGCCTGATTAATTGGAAGAGAAAACACTGAATGAAGTGTCAGTCCTCCAATTCCAAAAGCAGCTTTTCCAGTTGGAGATAATAAAACCTTTGCCGAATCCGTAGCACCAGGAAGCTTATTTGCTCGCCAAGTCACAGACTGATAGATGGTAGAAATCAGTCTGCTTTTTCCCACACCCGCCCCTCCACCAACATATTCGTAAAAAATATTTTTACAAACAACATTATGCATCACATGTGCATAATATTGTCTTTGCTTATGGTTGAGGGACCGAGTTAGCGAGCAAAGGTCATCATTAGAAACTAACGGGGGGAGTCTAATTAATTGAAGTTCGCCGTCTTCTTCAGGGTTGTTTACTGCATTGTCATCCTGAAGAATATTTACGTTCCGCTCTATATTTGGTACTGCCAAAGCTCTAAACTCTTCGTCTAAAAATTGGGAGGCAGGTTCTTCCGCAACAGGAGCATTATCTCCCCTATCCTCTTGCAAATCTTCTAGAACTCTTTCTAACTCCATATCATCAAACACATCATAGTTCCTTTTTTTGCCTTAATGGCTTCATGGTTTACTCGGAATGTGTCTTCAATATCGTTGGAAAGAAGTTCAGCTTCTTCATTTCGCCAAGGATAGAAAAGCATTAAATGCTCTCGGAAATAATCGGAAGGTGAAGAGTTAATGCTAAAGCGAACCCACCTTAGAATCAGGGGATGCCTGCGTTTCTTAACGCAACCAGACCCATCCATCAGTGGATAGCTTTGCTCCGCAACTTCATCTTCGTCATCTACCTCCACATCATTTTCTTCATCATAGTCTTCCCTCTGATTAGCGGCAGATCGTGTATTTCGCTTGACAAATCTGTACCAAGCCGCGAAATCTGCTAAACAAATTCCTTCCAACTGCGCATGCCTTTGCACATATCGGTCAAGAATATTACGCTCAAAAATATCCACCGAGTTGTTTGGTAGTCGCTCTAATTCTTCATTTAAGCGAGTCAATCTAACTCGTTTGTCTGGATGGCAAGTGTTTATAAAAATAGTACCTTCACTTGCCTCCGACATATGCAGACCCAAAATATTGTAAGCTGCTTCTTGGGCCGATATTTCTGTAGCGTTAATAAACTTATTCCCTAGGTGCTGTAATTTCCTTTTAATAGAAATATTCCCATGGCTTATTTCTGCCATGGCTTCACGGAGCAACTGCGATACGCCTCTGTTCGATTTGTTTATGTAGTTAATAATATAACTACAACAGGCGTAAGCATCTAGGATAAATTGAATATCCATATTAGCTCTGTGTAAGCCTAGAATATCTCTATTATAAGCATTGAGCAATCGGTCGGAGAATCGTCTGCGAAGAAAAATTTGTGGCTTTTTCAAGCTGGAACGTAAGGCTAATTTGTAGGCTTCAAAATTAGTTTCAAGGTGGGTCAGAAAATAATCAAAATTATTATATAAAGCTGCGTCATCATTAGAAATGGTCCTTAAAGCTTCCTTAATTTTTTTGAACAAAGTTTTATGTTCTTCAACATTTACTTCGTTTTCTTCCATTGGATGCAAAAGAAGCGTTTCGGGCATAGGAGGATATGGCATATTGAATCGGCAGAACTCCTGTCCGCGTAACTCTCTCAGGCAGGAAGCACTATGCTTGTGGCGTTGATACTGAATTACTTCTTGTAGCTCAGGATCGTCTCCATTTGTAGTAATAAACCTATCGATAAAGTTTATTACTTGCTCGGTATTTTCGGCGTCTTCGAGCTTAGGAGCACCAGCAAGCCAGTACATGCCATGAGAGTGCGGAGATCCTCTGTGCTGGAATTCCATTCTCCAATAAAAATGGGAAAGATTGAATTCCCCAAAAATATCGGTTTTGAACAATTTCATTAATTGTCGCAACCTGTAATCGAAGTATCGAGAGCACGTCACTGGATCGGATCGGATTAACCGAGCCTTTTCGGAGCTGGAAAGAGCTGCCGCTTCTTCCTCGCTTATAGCCCTATTATCCAATAGAAGGGAAAGGATAACTAAAAGTTCATTCCACTTAGTTTCAGCATCGGAAAGAGTAATGAAAAAGGTTGGCAACCAAAATTGTCGAATCATAGCAATAACTTTTTTTTTTCAGCCTCCCAATGAGCTGGTGCAGACCGTAAACCTTTGAGGATGTGGTAGCCATCATAATGTTGAACAAGTCTGTCAACAAATGACTCATCCCGCAGATTACCAGCGGTAACTGCACCTGACTTTTTGCGTAAAGCAATTGAAATGGAATTTTGAATGCGCTGCATTTCGTAAAATTTATACATGTATAAAACTTTAGGAACTACAGCGCAGCGACGGTCGTAAAATCGGATTTGAGATCTGGCTTTTTTTGCATAGGTTGTCTTTCCTTTAAATATTTCTCCGCAAGAAATAGTTGGAAAGGAAAGTTCCTCTGCGTCTTCGTCAAGCGTTAAGCTTGTTGGGCGACGGCCTTCACCCGGTGCCAATGCAATGCGCTGAATTGCAGTATCATTATTTTCCAATAATGTTTCATGGCCTCCGGGATTTAAATTTTCTTCGAGCTCTTCAGCATTTTGGGATAGGTGTTGCTGCTGAAGAAGTTGCTCTACTGCTTCGCGATCAGATTCGTCCGCAATAAAAGGAATTTCATTAATTCCTTGAAGTCCTGCTAGCCATGATTCGTTCAGTGAAATGTTGTGCTTTCTGTAGAGCTCGGTATTCACTAAGTACCGTACAGCTTCAAGGACCCGCGCGGGTCGAATAGTTTCAGTCATGAAATTGTGAGCGTACTCTAGTCTCCTTTTTAAATGGACTTGGATGACATGAGTAGAGTCGAAAGAGCGCGGAAGCGCAGTCACAATATCAGGAACTGAAATTGGAACGTTCACTACTGCCCCTCTGATTCCGCATTGCCTTTCATAGCCGAGGGAAATAATTCTCATAAAAGGAATTCTCGGTGAGATGAGGCGTTCTTCGAGGCAGGTGAGTCCATTCAAGCACTCAGGAATTTCTGGGAAGTCAAACCCATTGGAAAGGCAGAGTGACGGGAGTTTGCCAAGAGAGATGGCACGACGACAAGTATGGCAAAAGTTATATTTACCGGACGATTTTGGGGGTCCATCCTGAAGTTTATTAATCTTTCCTCTGCCATTAGTCGAATTTGTTGTTCCCGAATCCTCCGCTCTAGTCGTGTTTCCCGGCGTTGCGATGTGTTTATCCGTTGCTCCTGTGTTCTTGCGATGGGATTTCTCCTGGTTGCTCTCCTGTAATCGGCGTCCCTTTCCCGTTCTCGCTGCCTGTCTTCCGTATCCCTTCGTCGCTGTCGGTGTTCTCCAGTGTTCCTTTCCTGTTCCCTTGTACGTTCCTCTGGGTCCTCGCGATGAGCAGCTCGCGCTGCGGCGTCCCGAATCTGCTCTTGAATTTGAAATTCGGGATTGGTCCTCCGAGAGGCATGGGCAGCAGTATTTTGCACCTGCTCTTGTCGCCGCTCCTCGGAGTCCTCTCGACGAATAGCACGCGCTGTGGCGTCCCGAACTCGTTCCGGATTTCGGTACTCCGGAATAGTCCTCCGCGTCGCATGGTCAGCAGTATTTTGCACCTGCTCTCGTCGCCGCTCCTCCAGGTCCACTCGGCGGGCCGCGTGTGCCTCCATGTCCCTAATCCGTTCGGGAATTCGGTGCTCTGGATTATCCCTCCGAGTAGAATGGTCAGCAGTGTTTCGTAACTGCTCTCGTCGCCGCTCCTCGGGGTCTTCTCGACGGGTCGCCCGTGCTTCCATGTCCCGAATCCTCTCTGAAACACGATAGTCTGGGTTCTGTCGACGATCAATATGCGATTCTGCGTCCCGAACCCTCTCTGGAACACGGAATTGAAGATCCAGTCGCCTATCAGCATGTGCTGCAGTATCCCGAAGGCGCTCTAGATTGCGAATCCTTTCGCTGCGTCTCCTCTGAGCCCGTGCTGCGGAATTCTGCGCACGACTTTCCTCCTGTAAGTCGGGGTTGCTTGCTCGTACATTGGCGATGTGTTGCGAGTTCCTGCTTCTTATTTCCACCGCATTTTGTTGGTAGCGGGCTCTGCTGCGGTTTAAAGCAGCTTGGCGGCGTTGCTCCTGGGATGTGCGGGAAACACGTGGCATTTTTTGCGTGCTGTTGGAAAAAAATTCAAATTAAATTATTTTCACAATTATGGAATTCACAATTATGGTAAAAAATGGAAATAGGAAATTTACGAAGGATTAAATTCCTCCTTCATAAATCTCATACTAAGGGATGCTTTTAGGGGAATAGACTTACCAAAATATATGTTTTAACAATTATTTCATATATTTTTTAAACACACACTTTTTGTCACTGGTAAAAAATATAACTTGCACTCCTTAATATTAACACTGGCAAAAAATACTTTTCACGCACTTTAAATTAACTGGCAGAGTAACGTCGTCACTCGATAAAATTTTTTTTAGACTGATCTACGGATTAGTGGTTTTTTCAATATATAGGCAAGTTAGGTAATATTACAAAAAAAAACGTATAATCCCTTAACCCTTTAAGGTTATACAGTTTTACCCTTTTCGTCATGGCAATAAAATGTCAGGATCTTTTTATATACCTGTTTTACCTGTTGTGTTATGAATTAAGGCGTTACGAATATTTACAGCCCAAATTTGAGGGATAATGTTATTCCGATTTGACCAATCAGAAAAAAGGTAATACCTGATATTTTAAAGTTCCTCAGTACCCATATAAATTGCATTGATATCTGTACTACCTGTTACGCAATAGAAAACCCTTGCACGTGTTCATTCAACGAAGGAGGATTTCCATTAAACCAATTGGCGGCATTACCTGGATTAGGTCATCATGGGATAGTCCCATGGTTTTCTCGTAATAAAAATTCGGGTGTTATTTAAAAAGTAAAGGGTTGTAAACTTAACAATGAAAATAAACACAATTTTATGATCATTAATAACCTACTACCCGGAATCCCAGTATAACAAATGAATATGTTAAATCATTCCATAGTATTGTTAAAAATGATAAAAAGGCTAACTATACCAAATTTAAAGTATACTAGGTATACTAAATAGTTTCAGTGTTTAATTTTTTCCACAATTTACTGCAAGGGTATATCAACTTCGGCTCCGCCCGAAGTTAGCTTTCCTTTCTTGTTTTTATTTAAGTTTATTGGTTTTATTATGATGTAATTATTAGGATCGGCCAACTATATCCGATGTTTCCGATATATATCCGGTTTTAACTGCAAGGGTATATCAACTTCGGCTCCGCCCGAAGTTAGCTTTGCTTTCTTGTTTTTTTCTTTTATTTTTTTTACAAGTTTATTTCTCAACTCTCAACTACCCGATTTAATAATCGGGTAAAGCATGTTTTTTTTGTTAGTTAAAGTGCAATAATTATTAAAAAGCTCGTTCTTAAAATTTGACATTTCATAAAAAATATTTTCGCATTTTGCGACTTGATTGCTTAATACTAGTTTTCCATCGATTTGGGAAACCGCTCTAGAGTGATATAAAAATTCTTTATGCAATGTGATTTTACAAACAGAGATGTCCATTAAGTCAACGATAATTACTGTTTTTTCTTCATTTTTTAATATTTCCAAGATGTCGGCATTGGTTAAAATTTTGGTACTAAAAATTTTTGCTAGAGTGCCAATTAAATTTTACAGATCAAATGTTATAAATCGTAAGCGATGTTTTCGAAGTGGTAGATCTTGATCAATAAATACATTTTTAAAATCATCGGAAAGAGATTCTATGTCTTTGAATAATCGGGAATTGATGATAGACTGCTTATTATTGTTTTCCGGAGTTCCAGCTAACCATTTCTACACGGTGCCTAACTCATTTATCCCTCTTTTTATCTCATTGTGACCTTTTATTAGTATCCCTTTTATTATTATCTGATTCCAATTTATTTTGATAATTTTATCAAATTTATTATTTCTTTATAAAAGCTTAAGTTAGTTACGTAAAATAAATCTGCGTATGAATCGTACGTCAATACGTCTTTATTAGCCTTATATAGAAGATACTCGTGACTTGTATAGTCAATTATTTCTGATTTTGTTAATAAAATAAGGTGTAGTATGAGCACCTGATAAAACATTCACTGGGAAAGGAAAGAAAAAAAAGGATGATATATAAATATTTAGAATTTTATATTATCTTTGTGAATAATTATATTTCTATTGTTGATTATTATTTTTTTTTGGTAAATTTTCTTTAACTATTTGTTTTTTATATATAGTTTTAAGTTTATTTCTTTCCCCATCTTTCTTTTCATAGACTACCTGTCCTACATGATATTCTTTTTCTTTTCTGTTTTCGTTGTGTTTCTAAAATCTTCTTTTAAGTATTTTTCAAAATTTGAGGAATGTTATCGTGCTCTATTTTATTATATAGTACGTCAAAAGGGTTTTGGTTCGTTGTAGAATGGATGCTCTGATTATGATCTTATGCGGCTCTTATTACTTTTTCGGAAAAGTCAGTTAAATTAAATTCTTCTTTAATGCATCGAGCTAATTCTGTTAATGTAGAATGTGCGCTTTCAACTTGTCCGTTTGAGGTGCTATGCCTCGGGTCTGCGTAATGTAAAGTTAAATTAAACCTTTGTGCAAAAGATTGTAATGTGTGGGTGTTCTTGTAAGTTCGAACAGAACCAAGTTGCAAGGTGTTCTGCAAGGTCCAGGGGATATACCTTAGGGATTTATGGATGGGAGTGAAAGGCGTGCACTTCTTGTGGTCTTGGACTTAGCTCGACGGATGGGGGATCTTTTCACGTATCCATACAACACATCATCAAAATAATTTAAAGTGCGCTAGCTTGAAAATTCACAAAGCAGCCCGGATGATTTAACTATATAATAGTATCCGAAAACAAAGAAACAAATTCCCTAAAATTCAAATATCTTCAGAGGAGAGAGAGTGATTTGATTAGTTGTAGGGTAATTAGATGGTCATTATACCCTAGTCTTAACCCACCCGAGCTTGGCGAGATCTACGACGTTTGATTATGGGGCGAATCCACAATCCTATGTGATACCTATTGTGGTTCCAGGATGCTATTTGGGGTTCGGCGGCGGAACGGTTGGACCCTTAAGCCTTCATAACATTCAAATTACTCAAATAAATATTAATATAAAATTGATTCATTTTGCCAATTAGGGATATCTATTTAAATAAAGTAATCTATATATATAAAAATGCTCTGTTTTTATCTACGTCATTTATAGACTTGAAAAGTTCTGAACCGTTTAAGCCCAAATTTTTACCCAACATGCGTTGAGGTTCCAGCTCGGTTTATGTCTACTTTTAATGTTGATAGCTTATCTGCGTTTGCGAATATATCAGTTTTTTCGCGATTCCCCGTGCCCCTACTTTTCTATTTAGGCAGACAGCTAAGAAGAAAATGTCAAATGAAAATGTTAAAATGTCAGAAACGAAGTCATGCCACCCAAGAAGTTAAGCCCCATCTGATTAAGAAGAGGAAACAGGCTAATCAAAGACTTCGATCCTTCTACTGGCTTATGGGTAGGAGATCGAAGCTGAGAACTTCCACTAAACTCCTCATTTACAAGGCATTAATACGCCCAATCTGGACGTACGGCATACAGCTCTGGGGCACTGCGAGCAAGACGAATGTCCGAACAATACAAGCTTTCGAAAATAGAGCCCTTCGAATCGCCACTGGGGCCCACGTCTTTCATGACAATCGCACCATCCACGAGGTTCTCAATTTCCCTTGGGTCAAGGACGAGATACAAAGAAGCAGCGCACGTTACATGCAAAGGGCTTCATAATCACCCGAACCGGTTGGCCAGCTCCCTGCTGGACAACAGCGAGCAGCCCAGAAGACTAAAAAGGACACACCCGCTGGACCTACCCTTACTACTCTAATTTATTTCTACCATATTAATATTTATAATTAACTATAAGTGAAGTTTATGTGATAACATTTAATGGTTGTCCCTAATGGACAGTTTTTAATAAACGTTACCCTGCTATTACAAAAAAAAAAAAAACCCAAGAAGTCGAATTTTGGTCGTCTTACTCGCAATACAAAAGCAAAAAGACGTAACATTTCGAAAAGGACTGACGAAGAGCGGGCCTCCATTCGAGAGACTGAGCGGCTGAGAGCCATGCGGATGCACAACGCGGAGACAGCAGAAACGCGAGCAGCTAGGCTTGAGCGAACACGATTGAGAGTTAGGCAGTCGCGTTCTGCAGCAATCGATTTGATTCGGTCTTAAAATAATGAACGCGACAGGGCAAGGGTAGCTGAAGCGCGTTTACAGCTTGCAACAGATCGAAACCTGCAATACAATCGACAGAAAGCTGCCAGTCAATGAGACGTCGAAAAAAATAGCATTGCCCGAAAATTTCTGTAATTTAGTTACATCGAAGGAAGGACTTATCCAAAAAGGGTTCCCCGATATCAGAATAAATTATAGGAATCACGATTGGCTCAGTGGACGAGCGATTTTCGCTGCCAAGAACAAAGATGTCTACCAGCTCAATCATGTAATCCAATCCAGCATAGAAACTGACGAAATTACATATAAGTCGAAAGACACGGTTGTGGAGGCAGAGGAAGCAGTTAATTACCCTACGGAGTTTCTAAACCAGAGGTCGGCACGGCCCTATCTCGGGGGCCACACACACACAGTATAAATGCGAGAACGTCATGCTCACAGCCTACTTTCTGCTATTCGTTACTAACACTAATGCGGTAAAATCATATCAATGTATTGGGGTGCCGACCACTGTTCTAAACTCACTTGATCTGCCTGGAATGCCACCACACATATTCAAATTAAAAATAGGTGTGCCGATTATCATGCTCCGGAATATGAATCAGCCGAAACTCTGCAACGGTACGCGACTCGCAGTCAAGAAATTGATGAACAACGTTGTAGAAGCAACGATCATCAGTGGTCCTTTTAAAGGTGAAGATGTCCTCATTCCTAGGATTCCTATGTTCCCGACTGATACACCGTTCCAGTTCAAGAGATTGCAGTTTCCCATTCGTTTGGCGTTCGCAATGACCATAAATAAAGCTCAAGGTCAATCTCTGGAGTTTTGTGGTTTGGATTTGGATGAAGATTGTTTTTCACACG